CAATTACTGCAAACATGACTACACAATATTGAATATTTAAATAACACAACCTTATTCTCCGCAACTAAGGTTAATTTACTGACGTATTATACATCCATCATAATCAACGTATCGTTAAACTGAACAAGATTTAATAAAGCCTTGTATGGCGGTTTCCTTGAAGAAGTAGGCCTACATGGTGCTCATGAAAGACCCGTACTTTTTTACCTCATGAGATTTCTGCGGACAGGATCCACACCAACACTAAAGCTCAGTCCGACACAGCGTAGGTTAAGCACCTCATTTCCCACCAGCACTTTGCAACGAAAGGTCAAGCAATCATACGTCAATTTGTCATTTTTATCTGTGAGCTGAAACCTTCCTCAGAGCTCAGGTCCGTCTCTGCGCCATCAAAATGTCACCAATCATCTGTTGGTTCAGGCTCGTCATGTTTGACCTGCACAGCTGTGTTTGAATTGTGACTTTCTCTGTGAGCCGAGCATTAGGAGGAAGTGATTCGCTGCTGCTTGTAGATGAGACCTGTCTTCACAGTTTAATTGAAGACATTGGCCTGTTAGTCCACGGGCTTTTTGAATTGTCGTGAGTGTGGGGTTAATTTGGTGAGCTAATTGACTCTCCTTGAATCAGAGGTGGAGCTTCAGTGTGGCTGCAGGTTCAGAAGGTTAATTGACTATTTTTGGTTCTTAGCCGCAAAAAGGCGAACATTTGCTAATATAATAACCTGAGGGAGAGGCCAGATTTGAAAGAAGGTGGGTTGAACTTTCTCTTATTATGCCCCTATACACTTATCCCTCGATTCTTTGGTCTCTAAAGTTCGCCAACCTGCAACACCTTTTTAAATGCTTCCTCAAAGGTGGTGTTAGAAATAGCAGCTGTGATTAAGCAGGTCCATTTATTTCAAACTCATTATGTTCTGCCAACACTAATAGGAGGCTTAATATCAATCTCTGTCGACGGTTCAAATTAAAAAAAAAAAAATTAAAACGCCCTGAGTCCGACTAATAGAGTAAAGAAATCTCACACCACATCTGAGTTTCTTTATTGTTTGTGCGTGATTGACATTATTCACCCACGGAACTATTGGTTGGGGTTATTTTTGTTTCGGCACGGACTTTTAGTTGAGTTTGACCGGACCCTTGTTTCCCCGCCCTGGTCTGTTCTTCCCGGGGCTGAAAGCTGTTTAGCATGTTTGACCTTGATGTTAAAATAAAAAGTCTAGCTTGCTACCTCGATACCCCGCCTCCGGACTCCGTCTCTCGGCGCACTACATTTTGGTGACCCGAATAAGTCTGCCTTTAGAAGGGATCCGAGACTGGAACCGCAGCGCAGAATGGCAAATAACGCCGTTTTTTTTTTTTCTCAAACTGCCGGAGTTTTTGGATACATCTGCGGCTGCATGGTTCGCACAGGCCGGAAGCCCTCAGGCCTCGCCCTCCGCAGTAAACTGTTTATGGACGCATCACGCTATTTCCACGTCGTTCGCCCTGGAGCTCCACTGCACCCGGACGGTAGGCCTTTATTACATCTCCCCTCCCCAGGATAAATATGCAGCGTTCCAAGGCTTTTTCTGGCCAAAGACTTTCGAGCTGTCTCGCGTCGGAAACGGGCCCGACGCCTGCCTCGCTATATTAGCCTTGGGAGACAGCAAGCCTTCTGACCACATGGGAAATGATGCCTCAACCTGCTAGGTACGGAGGAAACCCAATTTTTTGTTTCATAGAGACTGTTTCTTCGGCACAGTGCCGCCGCATGCTTTCAGACAGCCGCCTCGCTAACACGGCTCTATTACTGAGCCCACGCGCTTTAGTTGAAGAAAGCTGACCGGTTCTTCCTGGCCACCCAGCGTTTTACCCGCTGAAGGTGCTGGCCCCGACACGCAAGCGGCTCCTTCCCTGGTAGAGGCATGCCACCTAGCAGAAGCATCCAGGGCCGGACGTCAGCGAGCTCCAGCCCCTGGCCTGTGGTCAGTACCATGTGCACGCTTAATGGGCGCGAAAGCGAGGATGTGCCGTCCCCCCTGCACCTACAGAAGGAACGGCGAAAACGCCAAGGCCTCCTCGGGCTAGTTGGCCGCGAGCGTGGGCACATCCGAACCTGGCTCCTTTCATCAGGGGACACCCTCTCTGGTCCGCAGACTCCTTTTCGGTGACACAGGAGCCCAGCCGTGAGCGTGGTGCCTGCGGGCTACGGAGGACGCCCGGGTGGGGGTCTCACGGCCCACCTTTGAGTCGCTAACGACACCTCCTATCCGCACCTATTGGCACAAAGACATGTTTGCGACCTGTGTTTTGAGGGTCAGCGGTTTAAGTGGGATTTCATCACGGACTGACATCTCCTTCGGCTCCTCCTTGCGCGCAGACTTTCCTGTCCGCTCACGGACTGTGTGTGGAGTCAAAACAGCCGCGCTGGGTGGACGCCGGCTGACGTTTGCCTCGGTCGTGCATGCTACCCGCGGGCGCAGGCGTCTTCAGCGGCTCTCCAGGCTCACGTCTCACAAGGGTGACACCAGTTCACAGCACCTTTCTCAGTGAAGTTTCCCGACTTGACGCAGCCCACCTTTTCCGCCTGCCACTACCAAACACGGGGTAGAGCCAGCCACATGACACTGAGCCCCAGTCTTATGCTAGCCCCGGCGCTAACCCTGACATCTGTGCAGTCGCCAAAGTCGGAGTTCGACAGCCATGGAGCCCCGTCTGGGCATCATCCGCCGCTCGGACAGCCCGTTGGGCTTCGCCGTCCACATAGGGTCCCGTTAAATCGCCGTAGTGGCTGCGCGACCGTGTGGTGACTAGCCGCGTTAACGACGCCACTACGCCCAGACCGTCTACCCGGTCCCCTCACATCCAGATTTCTCTTCACACCTGGCGGCACTCTGGGTTTCTCCAAGGGTGGTTCTTGTGCGGTACCATCAGGTTCGGTGCACCCCTCAGACGTCCCCAAAACGTCCGTGTGATTACGCCGTTCGGCTTTTTCGGAGTTTCCTGCCGGTTATGCCGGTTTTTGTTTTAAGAAACGCAGCTCTTTCCTTTCAGCGGGGCTGGGGTATGGATTCGTGTTGTTCATGAGACATGGCTTCATTTCGTCTTGACGACATTTCTTGTCTGGCCAGCTCCTCCTCTGAAGGAGCACCAGTACACATCTCCGTGTCCTTTTTGCGGATGCTCAGGCCAACACGGGCCTGGATTTATCAACCCTGGCAAAGTGGTCGTTCGGTTTCTCCATCCACTTCCTCGGCGCATCTCATCAGCAAAGATGGAGCGCCCCCCTCCCATTCGGAAGGTGAGGCCTGTCCGCCTTTCACGACGCCTACAGCTCGCGCTCAAGTTCCTCGGATGGTTGACG